CTCGCCTCCTGCGTTTAAGATGAATGGACCCACACCGATGATCAAACGCTGTGCCACCCTCATGATCAGAAAAATCAGCATCGTTGGGAACAGCACGATCCTAAGAGTGGATCTTGTCTAACAGCTGCAGCCTGAACGGTGAGGTGGAAGGACAAGGACGCGGGCTCCTCTCGATGGCTTCCCCGCATCCATCCGAGACAAGCCCCATAGTTTGTCCAGACGAGCCCGTCTGCTGAGGCAGTAATTGAGCGCGATGGGAGATGGGAGGGTCAGGCTGGCCTTGCAGAGCCCTTGCCAGCTCTTCCCTCCTCCCTCCCAGCCCGCAGCAGCAGGGATGTGTTCTCCAGCCTTTCACCTCGTTATCACTTATCGCAGTAAGAGCAGGAGAGCCCAGCTGAGGTTTGGAAAGGTCCTTGTAGGTCACGCTGTCAAGTGCCTTGTTATCACAGGTCCTCTTGAAGAGAAGCTGGATGTCTCCTTACCCACCCAGCTAAGCAGAAGGGCGCAGTGCGGAGGGGGGCATCGATGACGAGCAAGAGAAGGGAGCTAGCAGCAGAACCAGCTCCCCTGAATTGCCACACTGTGTCCTGGCCTTGCTAATCCTGCAAAGCATCATGTGTGAGACAGGAGGGAGAAGTATCTTGTGGCCTTTCTAGAGTTGAGAATATTTATTTTTTCTTAAATATACATTGATTGTGCCACAAGGGAGAATTTGGGTTGGAGGAGCCAGTCGGAGAACCCCTCTGGTTTTTTGTCTTTAGCCTGTGAGTTTACAACTTACATGAAAGGAAGAGAAAAATCCAGCAGAAGCAACAAGAACCAAATGATATAATGATCTTTGTTTCTAAATTTTACTGTGTTACAGGGATGGAGCACCATCCATCCCGGCCCACAAGACTTCTGGGAAGCCGAGAAGAACAAGGTATTCCCATTTCAATATTACCAGACAAGCTGCCATGCAGCTACTACGTTTGTATTTCTCTTTTTTAAAAGATAAATAAAAGGCAAAGCCACAAAGAAACCCAGCTCCCAAACCAAATCCATTTGAAAAATGTATTTTTGTCATCTCCACCGTGGTTTATTTGACTAATCCCCAGTGGGAGTGGGGAGTGGACTCTAGAGATAAGGTTCTAGGTCTTTATGGTGAGGGATCTCCTCACTACTGAAGATTTTCCTTCACACAAACATCCCATACTGCATGATTTAAAAAAAAAAAAAAAAAGCTGATTTTCTTGAATACTTGCTCCTTCTTTCCTTCCCCCTACCCCACCTGCTATTTTTTCCTACATCTCGAGAAACACAGTCCCCGTTCTTTTCTGAAATGGCGATGTGTCCCGCAGCATCTCTACTAAGAAGGAGCAGCAGCTTGTTGGGTCCTCAGCAGGTCTGGGGAAATACTGATCACAGTAAATTGCAGACATCTACCACTGGGCTTATGCCAGTGGAGATAAGAGCCAAGGAGGACTCTGCTAAGAAGCTGTATGACTGGCAGCTCTTAGACACTTTTGCCCGCTCCTTGCACCTTGGATGTCCTCTCAGTTCTCCTGAGCTTCTGAAGCACCGGCTGCAAGGATGGCTGCACCTGCGGGGAAGTCCAAGTCTTGGAACCCACATATATACAAGAGTCTTGAATGCCAACTGCAAGTCCCTGCGCCTTTCAGGACAACGTGCAGGGCTTCCACCCCTGGAGCTATATGATGCTTCAGGGTGAATCTGAAACTGGGAAAGTGGATACACTAAATTTGAAACTAATTCAACCTCTGGATCCTGAAGAGGAACTTTGGGAGTGCCACCCCTGAAAGAATGAGGTGACAGTAAGATGACCATTGGAGGGGAGTTCGTGTGTGCACTGCCAGCTGTACCGCAAGGCCAGGCACAGAGCTGTTGCTCACATGAAGAATGAAGCTGTTCCCACTTCATTCCTCGAGCTGCCTGTAGGGAGAGAAAATAGCTTCTACAACTGAGTCAACATCTAGAGGAGTCGCTGCCTCACAGGCATCCCCGAAAGCTACATCCAACAACCAGGGCTGGGCAGGCGTCCTGCGTCGTTTCCAAGTGAGGAACAGGTCGGGTTCATAACGACCTGGTGACGCGGGTCCTGCGAGCAAGCAGCAACCGAACTTCACGTAGTACAATCACCTCATCCTGCAGATGCACGCCTCGGTGAAGACCTGGGTGCATGAAGCAGCCTGTTAGGGGGAAGGGAGGATAACGGTGTCTCTGAGCTCAGCGTTGGGAAACAGTCACTGCTTTCCTGCAGCCCAGAGAGCCAGGGACAGGGGATGAATGGAGATCATCCAAGCTGCGGGGGGGATGGCAAAGTGATGCCAGGCTTGTCCTGGCTTTGGAGAGGGCTGTCTGGTCTTGGAAACACAGGGGTAGCAAAGCAGGTAACGCTCTCCCTGGCAAGGGCTTGGTTTATCTTTGGACCTGACATGCTCGGTGAGAATACGCCATCTGCTCTGCCTGGTGTGTCATTGCTGCCGGCAGCCAGCCGGGCAGGGGCGAGTGTCGAGGGTTTTGCGTGGGGCTAAGCAGGGCTGGGATGAGCCAGCTTTCCGCTGACCAGCTCCGCAGCGAGCAGCAGCACCAACTTTCTGGTGTAGCAGCTCAAAGCACAGATCGATAGAAATAACTACTTACATGTATAATCTCTTTCCATCTGTCTCTTCCATCTATCGTTTATATCAGCTAAATTCAGCCTGATCACTAGCAAATGCTGTCGTGATGACCTGTAAGATTCACTTTCCTATAACGCTTCAAGTATCTGATTCTTCACCCCCAAGAATGTGACTGTTGGTTTTGATGAGGTTGAGATTTGCAGATTTAAGGCTTTAAGTAGCCACTGTCTCCCCAAACCTCTTCAATGCTTTCCCACAAATCCCAGTATCCAGCTAAGTCACTGGCGGCTGAGCAAGAGGATGTGTTTTTTGGACTAACACCCCTTCCCGGCGGAGTGGTGGATCTCAGAGCAAGGAACCACGCTTTGCACCTTTATCCTTGAGACCTGCTGCGACTGTGCATCAGGTCTTTGGCATTTAAGTCATTTTATAAAATCCCATTTGTTGAGGGTTTGCCTTTCTCTTAGGCTTTTCTGTTATTTAGTAGGTGTTTTATCTCTTCTAATGTGCCCAAAGGAGTTTTGGTGCATCTGTGCTGTTGAAGAAGGGTTGGCATTAAGCAAAAATTTCTAGACATTGGATGATTGCGAAAGCAGGAGTAGGAGTGGGGGGAGAAATTTAAGCAGGATTTTATGTTAGCCTGAAAAGGTGATGAGAAGAATCCGTGCCAGACAAGAGCCAGACGGACAAAAGCTACGACACAAATCTGAGCTCTGACAGCAGCAGCTCACCTGGCTCTGGCAGACCAAGCAGAAAACCTTGCGTGGGCCTCGGAAGCCTTTGCAGCCCATAAACTTAAGAGCAGTTTGCAAAAAATAACCTCTTGCTTTTTGCATAACAGCTTTCACGTGGAAGGAGTCTGAACACTGTTGATGTGCAGCAAACAGCAATGCTGCACCGGCGGCTGCTGCAGGAGGGGAGGGCGAGCAGTGGAAATCAGCCCCAGGCCTTCGCGTGCTGGGGTGGAGCTGGGTTAATGGGATCAATGTCCATACAGGATTCTTTTAGCATGTGTCTTAATTTCCTGTTTTTTAAGAAATAAGTTTTATATTCTAGGTTTTATTTTTGCACTTGGCATAGACCTGGTCCCACTGATTGCCTAAAAAGCCTTATTGTGTTACAGACAGCTCTGATTTCCCTAGAACAATACCTGTGCCCCTGCTGCTTTCTCTTAACGTCGCATAACCAGCTTCAAATTCAGCAGAGAGGTGAAGTGTTAGGATAATTGTCAATAAATAGCAGGCCTTTTACATCACTGAATGTCTCATTCAGTCCTCAGCAAAGTGCTGGGTAAGTCCAGGGAGTTGACTTTCATGACCAGTAATGGAAACTCTGTTTCTTGGGCTGTTCCCAGCTAGACTGGGCTAAAATGTAGTGTGGGAAACAATGGTGTGTGGAAAAGTGTCTGATGTAGGGTATGTAACATTGTGATTGGGAAAGAGATGGTTACCGATGTAACTGTCTGCATAAAGCTACTTTCCAGGTTTAGGGAAAGCATGCGTGCTGGTTTCAAAGGGAGATCGTTAATAATAATGTTATTAGCATCTAATAAGTGTTTTTCATCTATGTACTGCTCAGACATTAACTCATCAGCATGTGACATGCTTCTAGCTAGATTACTCCTACCACACAGGATTTGGGACAGGTCTCTCCTGTCTGTTTAGAAGTTGCCCAGAGACAAAGACAGGATGGTGGTTTGCATAGAGCAAACCTGCAGCAGGTCCTGCTGCCAGCTCCTGTCCCACGGTAGCACCGTCCTGCCACGGAGCCTTGCAGCAGCCGTTAGCATCACTGCTGGACCAGGGAACTAGATGCGTGATGTGACCTCCACGGAAATTCAGCACTAACAGGCTCAGAAGACGGTTGAACTCTGGATTTACGCTTTAAACTGATCGATTTCTCTTTTCTTTAGGATTCCCTTATGCTATCGCTTCACCCCTCCATTTCCCTCTCCCGCGGTGACTCGTTGTGTTGCTTCCTTTGCTTTTCACCATTTATCTTTAACCTTTTTGTTTCCAGGACTTCTCCCTCTGCAGAAAGGGGAGTTTCCCAGCAGGGGCCAGGTCTGAGCGGGAGCCTCCCTCCCCGGGGAGCACACACGGAGCAGCTCTCCCAGACCAGGGCTGCTCAGCGCCTTCCCCAAACCTCACACCCCCTTGGACTATCCAAGCCCGAGACCCACTGACCACAGTGGTGGAAAAGTCAGGTGGGAGAACAAGACATCAGATGTCTGTGTGATCCTACAGGTCTGAGGATGCTTTAGGTTTTCATGGGTAAATAATGCCTGTAGCTCCGTGGAGCTTCGGGGTCCCAGCTCAGCCCGAGACACCATGGCCGGGAGCCCTAGACTGACACCGTCCCTTCTCTGTCCACTTCCAGCCGTCCAGGAGGAGAGGCAGCGGGGGAAGGACCGCAATGAGAATGAAGTGGAGTCGACAAGTAGTGCCAACGAGGACATGCCCGTGGAAAAGATCTTGGAAGCTGAACTCGCAGTGGAACCAAAGACAGAGACGTACATTGAAGCAAACATGGGCTTGACGCCGAGCTCGGTAAGGCTCCCTTGGCCCTCAGAGAGGGGTTATCTTATGGGAAAAGAAAGAAGTAGAGTTCAGAAATGCAACTTCTTAGCTCTGCTGTAGATGCCGTGTGTGAGCTTAGATGAAAGCGTGAGGAAAGCAAACCCCTCTGCCCCTGCGCAGCCACCAGCACTGGTACTTGTCTGTCTCGCTGCCATAGCAAAGGAACAGATGCTATAAGGCGTAATTAGAAGGGCTCACAGAGAAGATTTTATTTTAGTTAACAGCCCTTAGTGCTAAACGGCAGGAAGACACTCCATGCTCTGAAGAGTTCAGAGTCCAATCAAGCCAATAAACAGAGCTGTGCGGCTGAAGTGCAAAGAGATAAGAGTTGTAAAATTGGGGTGTGACTTTTCAGATGCAGAATTATACAGCTGCTTGGCTCTAAGAAGAGAAAACCTGGAGAAGATTGCTTTCCCAAGTTCCTTTCCCAAGCTTGCATTATAACTGGACCTGCTCGAAGCAACCAGGCTCTAAGAGGACCTTGTGTAAACAAGAGATAGCTGACAGGGAAATAGGAAAAGAGTGAGAAGCTGTGATGAGGGAAACTGTCTTGGTCCCTTTCCTAAGACATTCCCTTATCAGCAGGTTATAGCCTTGCTTAGAGAAAGCCTCCCTGCAAAGCAGCTACCTCCAAATGTGAGAGCCGGCCTATGCTCTGAAATTCTGTTTCTAGGATAGACCTATGCAAAGCCCTCATAAAGAGCCCTATTGCAGAGAAGGTACTTGCTGCCCAGATTAGGCAGCATTTACGATGCAGTCCCCATTCCTCAATAGCCCCTGTTCCTGTGAAAGTAATGGGAATAGAGGAATGCTTCTAAAAGGTAGGACTGCAATTGAGGCAACTAATATAGCAGTAGGGTCAGGGGTAGGGCTAATTACCCCCGTCCCTGGGTACACTGGGGCAGCCCTGGGATACTGAGGGACTGGGAAGTCTCAAAGCAAAGAGATGGAGGAGGAAAGGAAAAGAAATAAATTGCCTTGCGCCATTGTGTGTGTGCTTTTGGGGCCAGGGTCAGCTGCACATGTTTAATTTCTCATTTGCCTTATGGCGATGCCTTCTGGCAGGCACGCACCATCCCACGGTGTGCTCTGTTTGCAGGAGGGGGCACTGCCACTGCAAGGTGTCATCAGGGCTGCAGAGGGTATAAACTACCCCAATACCCTGCTGGCTAATGCCAGGCTGCTGGGGAGGGGAGAGGCTGGAGTGGTGAGCATCTCCTGGCTGCCTAGCAGTCCTTCAAGGGGGCACAGGGGTACAGCTGGGGCTCTGCGAGCGTCAGGCTGGCTAACCTGGGAGAGCAGGAGCATATGCTGAAATAGCCCTCTGCATTTCCTATTGCTCTGTGCTAGGTATCTATGAGGTTGAGATGATGAAATGCAGCTATTTCTGGGAAGTGGAAGGACTCTGCAGTATTTATTTTCTGCTACAATAATACTTTATCTCTTTCTTTGTATGAGGCTTGGAGGATTGAGCAGGGAATACCTGCTCAGGAGATCTCAGAGTCAGGCTGCTCCTTGTAGGAGTCTGAGTCTTGGGATGCTTTTTTTTGCCTTTACCTACAAGGACGCTTTATGGCTGGCTTGCTAGGTGAGGTTTTTCAGTGCATAAGGCTTCCTGCTAAGGATAGAGCTGATTTCTCAGTGAAACAATCCAGAAGCAGATACAGGGCCATGGTGCTCCCTTGCATTTGAGAGCCCAGTTGCACCCTGCAGGCAGCGATGCCCTCCGACCAGAGCAGCCGTGAAGCTTGCAAGGAGCTTTTTTGGAGGAGGCAGCTCAGCCGTGGTTAGCGAGGGGCTCGGAGAGGCTCTGACGGCTATCAGGATTAAAAATACTTCAGGGGAGTTGTAGCCAGCGTTGTGCTGACTTGAAAACAAACCCTAGAGAGTGAGCTGAAATAAATGGCTTCGTCTGGCATTGCATCTCCTCAGCCTCTTGTAGCAAATTGAAAGCTGGTTCCTGCATAATTCAACACGCATTGCTGTGAACAAGGATGTGTGTTGCATCTAAATAGAAGCAGGAGGCTTGTTGAAATGCCCTATTATTGTCAAGCGGCTTCTGTCGATGAGGTGGCATTTGTAGCAGGTTTAGCAGATGTATGAGATCAGCAGCTCGCAGTGACGAGGCCACCGGATGAGGCGAGGGAAGACGGAGGAGCTGCCCTCCTCCCAGCCCTCCCCAGAGAGCCCATGTGACGGGAAGGCAGACAAATTCAGTCCCGAATAGACACGGGGTAAAACACAAGCTGTTTCCTATTAGCCTGGGATGTTGGGTCCCTTTATTTGCGCCCCTGCACCTTAGTCCATCTGCATTGAATGCTGCCAGTGAGCTGGAGAGCTCCAGCGCTTGCAAGGACGTTTCCACGGGGCTGTGCCAGGCTGGGACGGAGGTGGCAGGGTGCTGCAGGAGTTAACACCCTCCTCTCCCAGATGCTGTCATGTCTGTGACTGTCACCTTGTGCCATGGGGCCCTGGCTGCTCTGAGAGCGGAGATGCCAACTCTGGTTGAGGGAGGTCCCTCTGCTTTGCCAGGCTGGCACTGGCACTGATTTCTTCCACCCGTGACAGTGTGGGACCCAACTGTGGGGCTTCAGCACAGTCCTCGGAGCTGGTAAAAGGGGAGGGCAGGGGGGCTGCAGCCCGTGAGCTGTTCCAGCAGCCTTGGTATCTAAACACGTTGTTGTTGGTGAAGCGTGCTGCTCCGAGTATGTGACCAGGGAGGGGACCCATGGCTCTGTCCTGACACCTGGATTGACACCAGAGAGGATGGGGTACGTTCATGCTTTGAAGCCCATGACGGGGAAAGGGGAGTACAGTGGGGTGTGATCCCTGTGGGTGGCATGGGCAGGACGGGGAAGGATGCTGAGCCAGGCAGAAAGCAGCCAAGACAGAGGGATGTGCCCCTGCAAATCTGTTCTTCTGCCTTGGGTGGTAGGAGAGTGCCAAGACTAGGGTTTCAACGACCATCACTAAAACACTCACTTGAAGTAATTGCCTTGGTGAGCCCCTGATAACAGCTCTTCAGCTGCTGCAAATAGCTGCTAATTGTGAAGGTTTTCTGGCTTCTGACCGTGGCAAAGGGGATAAACCCTTTGGGAGGCTCCCACAAACTGTAAGTGAGCATGGCTGCAGGATTCCTCCACGCTGCGTGTCCCAGCAAGCCCCCAGACCCCGTGTGATCCCTGTCCCTCGGGAGCTGGGCACTGGCCGTATGCCCTCAGCAGGTACCTGTCCCCAGGCAGTACGACGGGGTGCGAGGATGGGTTTGCCTCTGCCCCGTGTCCCCGGCAGCTGCGAAGCTGGGCTCCTGCAGCATAAGCACCACCTCGGATGGGCTCCTGGCCACTGAAAGGCAAAGCTTGTAACTGAGAGGTGTTATCCCCATTAGCTCTTAATTGGCCTTTGAGCAGCTGGTTTCAAGTCACCATTTTCTAGAAGATGTCTCCAAGCTCCGGTTTTCCAGAAGGATCAGGTGCCTGCGTGTCCTTTCATTCTGTCACACTGGGGCACCGTGCCCTTGCTATTTACTGCAGGAGGGGATTTGCTTACCGTGCACGGGGAGGATTTCTAGCACCGCTTTGCAGATCCCCTCCTGGAGACAGGCAGGGCCCTTTCAGCCTGCAGCGATGATACTTTTAGCTGCCTCTCTATGGTGATTAAGTTCTGCCAGGAAACACCGTGGTGGTTCCAGGAACTGGAATCTGAGGTGTAATTAAAGGCTGGGCCCCTCGCGGAGGCTTTGTATGATGCACCGAAGGCTGGGTACAGCTTGTGCTGCCTGCAGAGCAGTGGTGATACAGCCTGGGCTGGGAGACCCGGAGCCCGGCTTGCTGCATCAGGTCGAGTCCTAGAGACGGTACCAACCCGCCCAAAAGCAACCCCTAATAAAAGCTTTGGCAAAAACATCTAACTTTCCTAAAATACCCCTTTCATGGGGCTGTGCAGGCACTTGTTCTGCTGTCAGGTTCTGCTGGAGCATGGGGTCTCCTGTAAGTCGTGTCCCGCTCCGGGGCGTGCAGGGCTCCATCCCCATCCCGCCCCGCGGGAGCCGGGATGCCTGGCTGCTCCGGCTTGCTGACCGAACTCGGATGACTTGAAGTTGGTGATGTTCCTATAGCCTGGGCCAAGGGTGTCCCTTCTCACCCTTCCTGCAAATGCCTCTGAATACTGACATTCCCCGTGTTTCCAGTGAAACGCTTCACCCTGCAAAGCCCCTCCTCACACCCAGTTTAGGGTTTTCCTGTTTTCAGAAGGATATCCCATCTTTTCTCCCTCTTCCGGGGAAGAGCCCAATCCCTGCTCACATCTCCTTCCCCAGGGAAGAGCCCCAGCTCCCCCAGAGCGAGACTCCCCTGCCCTTGCACCCCTTGGGAGCTGCGGAGCATGTAACGATGCTCCCTGTTCCTCAGCTGCGCTGCTGAACGCGAGCCCATTCCCATCCATCTCTGCATGCAACAGGTGAAAATACTTCGAAGGCGGGTGCCCCTGAGCTTGCCAGATGCTGGTTATTTTAAGCCTGGAGAATGGGAGACATTGGCTACTGAGGCACAGAGTTTGTGTTTGCTGCCAGGGGACAGGGGAGGGGACCGGGCAGGGGTCCGGGGCACGGCTCTGGGGGACAGGAGTGAGACTCAGCAGCGTGGTCCTCATCCACCCAGCCTGGGAGAGGGGTTTGCCATCGAGCAGCCAGCTCGTGGTGAGGAATAGCCTTGTCCTGCTGCAACTGAGACTCTTGCCAGAGGGAGAGGTTATGCTGGCGTTCGTGTCTGCTCTGTCTCGGCTGCACTGAACTCACACCCCTTCCCCCTGCCATCCGGGGGTGAAGTAAACACTCCTCCTCCGACTTGGAAACTGCTCTTTTAAGGACATGGAAGAAAAATAATCGTACAGTCAAAGCTGCTAGATATCAGCAGGGATTACAGTGGGATATGTGGAGGGGCTCATACATCCCTGTCCAGAGAGGTAAACCCTATATACACACTCGTACTAGCGAGGTTGGTCTTCGCTGGGGTTAGACAGTCTCTTCCAGTTCCTAATCACAAGCCCACTTGAGCTGTTAGCAGTTCCTTTAAACAGGGATTTGGTGTGTTTAGGCTGACTGTCCTCCTTGAGAGCAGATGGTTTTTGTTACCGGATAATATTTCAAAGGAAAGGGTTTTTCTCTTCTTTCTGTAATGCCCTCTCTGGTGCTGGTTTATTGAGCTGGGAGATGCTGGCACGGGGAATGTGCGTGCTGCACGGGTGCGGAAGCCTCCCCATCCCTGGGCTGGAGCCAGTTTGGTTCATCAGTCAGTGTGATGGATATTGGGTCTCAACACTCTTGGTTCCTATTTTGGAGCTTGCTAAAAACTACTTAAAACCATGTGGTGGAGAAGCCAAGTCACCTCCTTTCCCTGTGACTGATAATGTCCGCTCATGGGGTGCTCCCAACTTCGGGGTCCTCCCCTGCAGCAGGGAGGCAGCAAGACCCTTCAGCTGCTCCTCCAGCCTCTCCTCTTCTTGCTCTGCCTTCTCCCAGCCTTTCAATCTCCTTTTCTTGGCAGCCCAATGACCCGGTGACGAACATATGCCAGGCAGCAGACAAACAGCTCTTCACCCTGGTGGAGTGGGCCAAGAGGATCCCCCACTTCTCCGAGCTGCCCCTGGACGACCAGGTCATCTTGCTCAGAGCAGGTGAGTGGGAACCGTCCCCACGCGGGCTCCGGCACGGGGCCATAGGAGCGCTACATCTCAGCGGTGACAGGTATTACGCTGAGATTTAGGTCCCGGCAACTTGAAAGCCTTTAACTGATTCTGAGTAATAGCCTCTGATAATTCAATTGCCAAATAGGATTTAAAAAGCCGCAAGGGATGGGTTGCTGAATGTGATCCAAAATGTTGCACCAGCTGCCAATCAGCTGAAAAATGTCCCGGCTTCATCTCTGATGAGCGAGGTGCTTGGAGATCTGCGCTGGGTAATTTAAACCGAGGGAGCTACGCGCTGCCTTCCTCCCGAGCTGAGACTTGAAAGACCAAGTGGGCTTGGGACTCCATGAAATTCCATCAAACTAGAATGTTTGATCATAATTAAAACCAGAAAGGGGAGAAAAATATATCAACCTCCTTCTCCCACCCACCAAGATGAAAATAAAATTCTCCGGGCTTATTTTAAATTTCCTTGTGCGGCAGGGGGTCTGCAAGAATGGAGGCTTTGGGAGGTGAAAAGCAGTTAGCTGTAAAATGTGCCTTCTCCCATCGAGTAAATTTGAGCCCCTACTGCACAAAGACGAGGGAGGACAAGAAATCAAGAGCAGAGCTCGACGAGGGTGAATTTTAGGCAAGAAGCTGTGTGTGTAGCTCCAGTCATCAGATAAGTGATTAAAAAGGCTTTGGCTTGACGCAGCAGTGAATTTTGCTCCCTTAAACAAAGAGGAAGGCAAGTTGTCGGTGGGACAGATGAAGTGGCTTCCAGCAAATGACAAACTCCGTGTGAAGGGTGAGACTGGGAGAGGAAAGGAGGAGAGCTTGACGGCTGGTGGTGGCACCCAGCTCTCCGCTTGGTGATGAGAGACACCGACCTTGGCGACTCGAAGTAGTCAAGGGAATTGAAAAGGGAACGGTGGAGGAGCTTGGTGCAGAGCAGAGGTGCAGCCTCAGAGCCGGGCGAGCTGGTGAGCTACCTGGAGTGAACCAGTCTGGCAGCCAAACCCAAGTAAGCTGGAGACTCTGAAGCCCCTGGTAGTTTTAAAAGTTCCTCTTGTTTCCCCAAAATGCCCTTTTGTAGGGAATTCAAGAGTGGAAAACGCTGCAGGGTGTGTGCTCCTCTCTCTGCACTCTTCTGGCCTCAAATCAGTGCCTCTGTAGACAAGACACTGCTGATTCACCTTGATGGCAGCATTCCTGGCTTCTCACTGTAGAAAGTGTGTGCCCCAAAAATAAATGCCCATGAAATTGAGCAGGAAAATGCTTTAAGAACCAAGTGCAAACTATTCACTTCAACACAAAACATAGGAAGTGCCAGAACTCCTCCGGTCCAGGTTGCTTCAGGAGAAGGTATAAGGGCTCCAGAGTAGGAAGATGATGGGATTGGTGTTTCCCCCTTCCCACCACACAAGCACTAGCTGTCATTCTGTTTAATAAGGCTGACTGTAGCCCCAATGCATGAATTTTAACACTTTCAGCAATTTTTAGTTGACTATCAACCAATGTAACCGCGTACCTTGGTCCTACATACAAATACCCAGTGCCTCTTGCAACCTCTCTGAAATCCTTGACCTCAATGGTTTCTGGGCGATTAAGTCGCACCGTTTACTGGTGTAGGTTTTCCACTCTTCTTATATTACTGAAAGGAGATTTTTATAGTCACATTTCATCTAGTGGTTACAGCAGTATTCTGGGAATAGAGAATTTGGGGGTTTTATTCTTGGCCTTCCCTGGGTGGCTCCTGCTAGCCCTTCGGTGAAGGTGCTCCTCTGACTTTTCTGTGGGTGTTGCCAGAGCTGGCTCAGAGCCCTCTCTGGAAAATACAAAAAGTGTATTTTTGAAGAGGGTCTCTAGAGCCTCTTGTGAGAGTGGATGAGCAGGGGAAGCATCTCTATAGAAATCTTTGGGGGCTTTCTGCAAATATCACAGGGAAGAACTGGATTCAGACAAAAACCTGCCTTTTTCTTTTGTGAAATGGAAACAAAACCAACAACTACAGTTCAAGGTTTTCCTTTCTCTTTAAAAGAAGGCTAATGGAAGCTGAACTGGAGATTTTCTGACTTGATGTTTTCTCCTTTGTGCTGGTGCTTGTCATGACCAACTTCGAGCTGGCACCCTGGAGGGGCCACTCCACGGGGCAGGAGGAGAGGGGGCTGCAGACCCCATCACACCCCAGATTTCATGGTGGCTCTAACCCCATGGCCGTGAGGTGGGCTGAGCACCTGGAGCGACTCTGATGGGCTCCCTGCTCCAAGCGTCTCTGTCGGGGCCTCAGATAACCTCCCCCAAGTCTTTTAACCAGCGGCTCTATCTATTATTGAGTGAGGAAAGCAGCCTGCTGAGAACAGCTGCCCATGAAATATTTAAGTATTAAAAATCAGCTAAGAGCATCAGTCAGGTTCAGTCATGCATCCTTGGAGGCAAAATCAAGTGGAGCACGCATCTTTGGAGGAGTGGTGCTGGATGGGCCAGCAGTAGCTTTCCTTTAATCCTGAATCATTTAAAAATCTTCCCTCTTTGAGCTTTTTGGAGGAGAGGGGAACCCAACTTTTTAAGCCTGTTTTCCCTGGGTTTTCTTGTTTCCAAGCTTGCTATGGCTGAGTTGGGAATAACCCGATGTTTTCTTTGCATCGAGGCCAGCCTGGCAAAGGATGCTGAGCACTACATCTCTGCAGCTGCAGTTCATTTTATAGGGCTGGTGGGGAGACTTGGTAGTGAGATGGGTTAACGTGATGGTCACTGCACTGCCAGGTGCCTCCCCTACCCCAGGGGAGCCGAAGCATCCCCGGAGGCTGCAGCCACCTTGTTTGATGAGAAAGGAGTCGCAAGAGTCAAAGAAATCTGCTCTGCTTCTCCAGAGCTTGGGCTGAAACGCAAAACTCCTTGGGTAGACTTGTTTGATTTCTAACTCAGATTTGCTGCCTGTTTTATACCTGATTTTTCCTGCTTGCCTCTTTATCTTATCAGCTCTTTGGGGATGCTCTGGTGAAGGCACCAGGTAGAAGTAGGTTCCCCATTTCAGCCGAAACATCCTAGCTCTAAATGGGAATAATTCAGCTGAAGGATGCTGATTAATCCAGCTCCTTAGCTGGAATAAGCCCAGCACAGATGTTAGCGGCACCCCGCAGCCTCACCACTTTCACATATTCCTGGCAAGCCAGAGGCTGGATTCGGCACCCTGGGGTGTTGGGTCATGGCCGAGAGTCGGGGCAGAGTTGTGAAAGCTGGTGTGGCGGAGGGATGTTGCGAACCAGCTCTAGTTTCTGTTGGTTGGAGCCGCATGGAGGGGTTGTGTGTGGAGTTGCTGTGGGTCTGCATGTAAGGGCTGGTGGGAGGCACCCACGGCACCTTTCTGTGGGTCTGGCTCTGGGAGGTCCTCTTCAGCCACGGAGCACGGTTCCTGCAGGCTGCTGGTGCAGTCCCAGGTCTTCTTCTCCATTTCAGAGTGTTGCAATCCCTCTGCAAGTGCCAGGCCTCGCCCAGTAAATAGCCCAAAAAATGTTCCCATGATTGGGGTGGAAACATCCTGTGGCCACTTAGGAAAGAAAAAATATTCCTTGTCAACATTTCTAATGACACAACCCATCTCTGCAACAGTAGGTAAATACAGCACACGTGGACCTTGTATTTATTCCACTCAGTGAGAAAAGACATGTTTCTGTGGCAGGAGAGGAGGTGAAGGATGTTGTTGCATTGCTTTTCCAGCCTGGGAAAAAAAAAAAAAGAAAATTGAATATCCTGACATTTCTGGACCCTGCCAAGCAGCCCTGTGTTCCGGACACCAGAACATTTTCAGGCAGGGTAAATCAGCCACGTGATGAGCGTGAGACTCTCCAGGGTTGCAGAAGACCCATCTTGTCTTATTGAAGATGCCTTTCCTGGTTCAAAGTCACCAAAATTTCCACCCTTCAAAACTTTACAGCATTTCTTCTTGTTCGGGGTTTGTTTTGGGCATTCTTGAACTCAGCTGGTAGGAGATTTAAGAATTTGAAGACATGTTAGATTAGGAAGGGGAGCGGGAAGGCGGGGAGGGAGGTCGCATCTCCCTTCCCTTCCCCATCTGTAACCAGCCCAGACTGCTCCCGTGGTGTCCAGGCTCAGAGGATGTGTTTTCCCATCTCCTGAAGTAGCATGTCCAGTAACTAATAAGACAAAAGCTGATTTCCAAGCAGCTATGGAAAGCTGTTAGTGGAGCAGTCATGGAGGTGGGACATCCCTGTACAGCGGCAGGTGAGAGGAGAGGCAATCCCTTCCAGTATTTATGCGGCAGAAGCAACAAATCTGCAAGCAAGAGTTTTCATGGTCCCGATTTACACAGCTGAATAATGGTGAATGAACTTTTGTGCCCCATTATGGCCTGAAAATGAGCCCAATTAGCTGATATAAAGCGTTAATAGGTCTTTAACTGCTCAGAGGCACGGGAGTATAAGGTCAGAGGGGGAACGCAGGGCTGCACACCCACTTGTAGGTTCACAGCGAGAGGAGCAGGGCAGAGAGCTGTTTGCTCTGGTGCCTGCAAGGTTTATAGAGGAAACTGCTTCCCTTATTAGCGTTATATTTTTAGTGCATTTGTTCCTTAATGGTTTTTTCCTTCCCTGACATCCAAGAAAGGGTTGGCTCCCCCCTCCCTTCCCATATCCAGCCTCGTTACTTTAGCAAAGGCGGTTCTTGAGCAGTTTCCTCCTCTCTTTTTAGCACCGGGGAGGTGATGTTGCTGATTCCCGAACCCGCTGAGGACCCCGTGGCTCTAACCTGCGGCCTTGGTTGTTTTCTCCTCCCCAGGGTGGAATGAGCTCCTAATCGCCTCCTTCTCTCACCGCTCCATAGCTGTGAAAGACGGGATCCTCTTAGCCACCGGGCTCCACGTGCACCGGAACAGCGCGCACAGTGCTGGCGTCGGGGCCATCTTCGACAGGTGGGCAGAGGGAGAGAGGGATGGATGGATGGATGGAGGGGAACGCATCTCAGGCCACCTTGCCTAGACATCCCCGTCTCTGTCTCCGCACCGGTCTGCCTCCGTTCCCCGCATTGCAACCTGCTTGAGGGGTCGGATGGAGATGCATTGGCATGTGGGCTCGTGGTCGGAGGAGCCCAGGCTGAGGTGTTGTCTGTCCCACGGCATGTGTGGAAACGTCGTGGTCCTTGCTGGAGGCAACAACATTAAATCCCTCCTCTGAAACCTGCAGAAACCAACAGCCCGAAATAGTCAGGGAGAAGGCTGCCCAGTGCAAATCAAAGCCTCTTTCATGGGGTCCAGATGCCTTCTAATGTTACGAGGAGGCCACTCCTTTATTTCTTTTCATCTTTAATTGGACCAAGACGTGATTTTATTTTCACAATGAAAAAGCACCAAAAATACCCAGCAGGTTCCACATGCGTATCCCGAGGGCTCTTTAATCTCCTGCTTTGGGAAAGTGTTTTAAAGCCAGACTTCCAGGGTGTTTGACCCACAGTGTGGCTCCAGACGCCGCTTAAATGGTGGCAGATTTCTCTGCCCGAGACTCATCTTGAGACGACTTAGTTGAAACCAAATCACCTTTGCTTCTTTGCTTTGCAAGGAAATTGTTCTTTGGACCTGGGTGACATCATTTGTTTCCTGTGAGGTCATAAGTGCAAGATCATGACTTCACTGCAGGATCTAACAGGAAAAACTGGGCAATCAGTGGAAAATGTTTCGAGACCGGCACCTGCAGTAAGAGCAAAGGGAGTAATAAAAATTACTGGCATAGGAAATTGCTTTTAGATACCTGTTGTTTTTTTTTTTTTATATTATTATTTTTTATTTTTAGGCCGCTTTCTCCGGTGCCAAAGCCTCTCAGTCAATGTATGAAGCCAGTTTTTATGGTCCCTGTTGTTGTACAGGAACAACTGATGTTCCTAATGAGCTATTTTTGATACAGGAGGAAAATGAGGGCATATCCTCAGCTGGTATAAGCGAGCACTGTCCCATGGCTTCATTAACCATGCACCGGAGGACCTCACTCTGGGTCTGACACCTGGGTGTTTTTTCATTTCTTTTTAATGCTGACGCCTGTGATTTCTGTGTCCTTTGCAGAGTACTGACAGAACTCGTGTCAAAAATGCGAGACATGCAGATGGACAAGACAGAGCTAGGCTGCCTGCGAGCCATTGTCCTCTTCAACCCCGGTACATGCCATTACCTTCTCTCCAGTCCGCTCTTGGCTGATGCGGTGTCCTTTTCGCTCCTTTTCTTACCTGTAAAGCTCCGAGGCCAAATAACCGAGGGCACCCAACTCTCGAGGCAGGGCAAGAAGGAAGAGAGACAAAGTCAAATTAAGTGCTGCACGTGCATCTGCCACCTTACAAGCACGTCCTTTGCAGGTCAGGGATGGATCTGGATCCCTGCCCAGGGTTGCTCTCCAGGCCTCCCTTTCCAAGGGGTGTTTTCCTCTTCCTAGCAGGCAGCACAGTTTCACGGTCTGAAATATTCTCCGTGCAGGGCCCAGCCTTGGCCGGGACTCGGCTGCGATCATCTGAGGAGATGGCAAATGCTGCTTTTGGAGCTGACTCCTGCTGATGGGCTGAGTTCTCTGCTGAGCTTGAGGGGCTTTGGTTTGATCAACGGACAGAGTCTTCCTATTTTCAGTGTTTCAGCCGACTCTGTAAAAAGAAAATCCTGGCGCTTGAGGCAAAAATGAATCTAGATATACTTTAAGACAGAAGTATGGGTTAGAGCAAAGCTAGAGCATGGACCTTGTTGTCCTCTGTTTCCTGATCTCAAGATCCATGGGCTTTTATTAACTGCATTTCTGGAAGAAAGGCATGAAACGTCCTTATAAAATACACAAGAATTTTATTTTTTGTCTGCAGCTTGCTTAGTTTTACAGACTCTAAGAGGCTTCATGCTGCTCGCTTTTCCCCCTTGGCCCCAGCTGCCCCAGGGAAGAAGAAGGTTCAGTGCCGGGGGTTGTCTCCGGCGTTTCAGAGAGCAAAGCCCTGCTGCAGCAGGAGATGGGCTGTCAGCCTGCAGATACCTGTACAGCTCTGTTGGGGGGGTTCTCTAGATTTTAGAGCGAGTCAGTCCAGAGCAAAAGCAGATGGCAGCCGAGGACAGACCTCCACATCTGCGGCCACCCCTTCCCCTCCCTGCCCTTGCAGGAGCACGGTTTGTGCCCAAGCACGGCTCTTTCTCTGGCTTTTCTCACCAAACCCAGGCCAGGGCATTTCAGCAGGGTTTATTGCTGTTTCTCGAGTTTGTTTTTTTGCTTGACTTTTCCACCCCTCCCCCCTTGTAATCACCAGTAATTTATTGTCTTTAATTTGGGATTAGCCATATATGGTAAAAGAAGGGGAATCTGGAGAGGTTCCCGTGGTGCACGTGCTTGGGGATATCGATTGCTTGACTGTCCCTTTCACCCTACTAAAAACAGATCCTCGCCGCCTCGTGGGGGACCTGCCAGAGCGGGGGCTTTTCGTTTAGCCCTACCACAGTGTTTCGTGTGGGAGGGGGAAATCCCTCGAGCCCAGGACTTGAGGGGGACTTAAACCCTTTTCATGAGGGTCTGTGACCACTGGAATGAGCCAAAATGGTTGGGGATGGGGTATGAGGTGGAGTAAAACAGATTCGTAGGGCAAACCTTTCAGGGCTTGAACGCTCCCCGGGAGGTGTGAGATACTGCCCCAAATTCCTGGGGTTCAGACCCACGCTGTGCCCTGGTGTGGTGGTGCCGGGAGGGATGGAGGGGGCAGGGGGAGTGCATGGGGGGGTCCTTGCCTGCCTGGAAAGCCTGGAGGTTTTTGGCTGATGGTCATTTCGTTGCCTTTTAGACTCGAAAGGTCTCTCCAACCCAGCTGAAGTGGAGGCGTTACGGGAGAAGGTGTACGCGTCGCTAGAGGCATACTGCAAACACAAATACCCCGACCAGCCCGGGAGGTGAGTTGCTGGCTGAGCCCTGTCCTCCTGCAGCCTCGCAGCCCTGCAAAGCCCCGTGCAGTGGGTGCTGCAGCTGGTGCAAAGGGTGCTGCAGCCCGGGGCAGGGTCTGAGCGCTGTCCTCGGGGTCGCTGCACCCGCAGCATGCGGGTGCTGGGTCCCTTCCATTTAGGGCTCTCTGTTCCCACGTCTTCTGGGAGTGAACAGTTCTCTGCAGAGAAAACCACTCATTTCTACCTGCTTCAGCTGTGAACGTCCTTAGAAAATCCCCCCTGTGAAGTGCAGAGAGGACTTTATTCCCGTGCCAGTAACTGCAACGCAGCCAGGACAAGGTCGGGCAGTAACGGCGGTGCCGAGACCTGAGGAGCCCCGGCTCCTGCGGCCGCAGCAGCGGGATGAACACATGGGGGAAGGGGTATCATTTCCCTTTTGGCAACCACGGAGAGCAAACCACAGCGAAAATAAGACGCACACGGAGTTAATTTTCGGTGGCAGATGAGCATCATTGCTGGGAAGTGAAAGCCTCAATTGATGCTCTTTTCTCCCCTCCCCGCCTCCCCCAATCCAGCTGGGAATGGGAGGGGGAATTAGGAATGCTTTCCTGGACCGCTCAGGAGCTGAGTGGGCGCATTTTCCCAGTTACAGCCTGAAGCTGGCAACTGCCAGTTAAGTTACTGACAGTCATTTGAGAAACCAGGCAAAACACTGGAAACTGCTGCTGGTGCGTATCGCTGCTGAGGCGTGAGTATTGGGAAAAACAGCCCAAGCAACTGGGATTTGCATCTCACCTGCATTCCCGGTCTTGCGTGTCTGGATGGTTAAATAAAAAAAAAGATGTTTTTACAGCAGTGAATGAAGTGGGCAGATCACGCCCTCAGAAGTAATATTGGACTTATTTTTCCCCCCACTTTGGGTACCAATGTGCTGGCAGATGAAAAGAGACGCATTGTTAAGGGGCTTCTTGGATGTTTATGGATGGCTTGTGGCAGGGAGAGTTAGGATGAAGGTACCATTGGGTGTGTTTGACTTCGCGGTGAGGAGGGGAAGTGAGGGATGAGCACAGCACAGAGCAGGGGTGATTACCGCTCCTCTCCCGGGTGGTTTATGTGGACCTCAGGCCAACTCTCAAGCTGACTCGTCTTCCAAAAAGCATTATTACACTGCAATTCCTAAGCAAATCCAGACCCAGACCCTGGACTTTGGCTGTTCTGGCGTTTCAGAAGAGCTCTGCTCCCCTTGGGGCTCACAACAAGCAGCCAGCCCTACCTGGCACAAGGAGAGCTGCTTTGGAAATCGTGGCCAGCAGCTCTCCTGGATTATTCCCCCGGTGGGATGAACTCTTTGCTTCTCACGGGCGTCCAGCGTCCGCAGCTGAGTCGTGCTGCTCTTGCACGCCGCTGCTCGCTGCTGCAGGCTGGGGTGGGGCTGGGCAGGGGGCTGGCATGGGGACAGCCCTGCTCTTCATCGACCAAACCGCCATGAAGCCGCTGTGCATGACTGAGCAAAGTCAAAATCAGTTCCCCAGGGCTCTACCTCAATGATCAGTGATGTGTAAGGGAGCATTTTAGGTCTGGTAGCTGCACCACGGGCTCTGGCGTTTCATCTCTCACTGGCTTTGAATGACCTTGGGCTGGGAACCTCCTTGTATGATCCTCACACCCTGCTTTGGAGACCTTAAAGGTTTTTTGCACGCTTAGGGCTGTCCTGAGAGCCATGACTGGGCACTGCTGACATTACTGCATCTCTTGTACGGTGCAATGGTGGAATAAGCCTAGGTAGCTCAGGAGAGTTAACTTGTGGGCTGGGAGTGCGGAGTTGCACAAGAGCTAAACAAGCTCTCGGGAGCTCTCTCCATCCTCCTGGTCTCATGGCACAATGTGATCACCATCTGGGGCTGGAAACAAGTTCTTCCTGTGGTTGAGCAAACGCCTGGTCGAGCCCGTGGCGGGCGCCCTCCCCTGCTCCACGCCGCGGCAAGCGCTTGGCTTCCCCACCTCTTCAGCTGCCCTTTGGTGCGTGACTTCAGCCTAGTCCCCGGCCATCGAGAGCTTGCGAGCGCCATGTAAACACCAAAAGGGAACTTCTCTGCAGCAGTGAGGCGGAGGGAAGCATTCCTCGGAAAAACGGAGCTGCGTTCCCCTTGCGCCAGCCCCTGCTCCTCTGCAGGGAGGGCACGGTGCGTACGTGACACCGAGCAGCCGCAGGGAATCGGGGCTATTTTCTCCCCTCCCGGCCGCAGCCCTGGCACGTTGTACTGCGGGTTGGTTATCTCACAGTTAAACGTATCCGAGGGCTGGAGCCATCATCTGGTTTGGTTTAAAGTGAAACTTCCTGAATGGGATGGTAGGACTGATTTGTTTTTCCTGGCTCTGCTCCCACTGTTCTCGCCAGCTCAGCAAAAAAAAAAAAATAGGGAGAGAGAAGTGTGCGTGCATGTATAATATCTGTATGTTTATGCGTGTCTCTATGTGTGTGTTTTCTAGAAGGTCCCCTTCTCCCTGGGCTGGTTCCGGCCTTTGCTTATGTTCAAGCCCCGATTATGCAGCAGTAAAAACAAATAAACGCACTCCCGGCCATTAAAGGGCCTTTTCCCCGTTTTGAGAGCGGGGAGGCGACATCCCGCAGCGCCTGGGGTTGCTG